CTTGGCTAGGGGACAGCAGCATGCGGCTAGTGACTGCCCTCTCCGTAGAGAATAATGGGCAATGTCCCCCCGGCGGCTTCGCCATGGTCCTCCTGTCCCCTGCACCCCCGCGCAGCACCCCCTGCGCCTGCTCAGGATGGGGAATGGCTCCTCCCGGACAGCCCCCAAAGCTGCCGCAGCCCCCGGTGTCAGCCCCTCTGCTTTCCTCTGCCCTCACCTCTCTCGCTGTCCTTCTGCCGCACCGCTCTCCACCGGGCAATACTGGCAAGCTCTGCCCATGGGGGTGACCCCCACCCAGGGCAAACCGGGATTTGGGAATTCCCGGTAATGCCTCGGCTGTGCTCCCGCCGGGGGGAAGGGGCCAGGTTTGGATGGCAGGAGACACGAGCATCCTTGCAGCCGCGGGGAGCTGGGAGGGGGGGTCAGGATGCGTGCACTCAGGGGCTGGCACCGCAAAGCAGCGGCGGTGCTGAGCTGGGACCGATGACGGACCCCACTGCCAGCGCAGGTGGCATCTCCGGCAGGAGTGTAGCTGCAGGGCAGCACAGTGGTGTGGATCCACGGGGTGTAAGGGGTGTCGGGATGTGTCGTCTCCGTCGGGATGTGTCATCTCCATCGGGATGTGTCATCTCTGTCAGGATGTGTCGTCTCCGTCGGGATGTGTCATCTCCATCGGGATGTGTCATCTCTGTCAGGATGTGTCGTCTCCGTCGGGATGTGTCGTCTCCGTGGTGGTTGAGGGGGACATGCTGGGCGTCTCGGCTTGTTGCCATATCCCTCCACTGTACCGGCACCATCACACCAGTGCCCGGGCCCTGGGCAGGCTGTGCCCGGGGAGGTGGGAGGGGAAAAATCCCAGAAATGGCCCTCGGCTCGCTCTCTGCACAGTGTCTGCCCTGACTTCTGCCCCCGTGGGACCCCGTCCCCTCCCACGGGCACGGGATCTTGCCGGAGCTCAGCACAGAGCCAGGGTGTCCCCATCCTGGGGCTCCTGGGTGCCACCTCTGAGCCGTGGCAGGATCGTCACCCCTGTGGGAGGCTTTTCCCACGCAGGAGCCTGTCCTGTGGGGACAGCGATCGGTGCCCAGCCCTGATGGGACGGGGCATAGCAGGGGCGAGCGCTGCAGAGCCCTGCCAGCCCCTCTCCCCACATGTTTGGGGTGCACTGGTACTGCCCGCCCGGCATCTGTGTGTCCATCCCCTCCCGGGAGCGTGTCTGTGGGCTGTGTGTCCCCCGTGGCTGCAGGGAGCAGTGGGTCTATCCCCCGGCGGGATGCGGTCTCACCGATGCCCTGCTTCCCCCCGCAGCCCAAGCCGAGCTTCGAGCAGAGCAAGAAAGAGGTGCAGCGACAGACTCCCCCCGGACCCTCAGCCGAGGGGCTCCCGCAGAGCCGGCAGGAGCCGGACGCAGAGAAGCAAGCGGCTCTCAACAAGGGTACAGCACCGGGGCCGGCAGGGCCTGCTCCAGCGGGCTCCTCCGTGCCTGCCGGGAGCACCCGGCATCTCGCTGGGACCCGGAGGGGTTCAGCCTGGTCTTTTGGTTTGCTCCACAGTGGGCATCGTCCCCCCCAGGACCAAATCTCCAGCGGAGGAGGAGGTGGTGCCCACGGCCGGCGTGCCAAGGAGGAGCATGGGTGGCATGGCCAACGGGCTCAGCTCCAGGGTAGGACGGACTCGCGTCGGGGGGCTGGGGGTCGGGGTGGTGGGACTGGGCTGGACTGGCAAAGCGGGGGCTGTGTCACAGCCTGCAGGGCTGGGGCAGCGCATAGGGGACCCCGTCCCTGCATGGCTCCACATCTCCGCATCCGGCTCCTCGGGACCCCCCGGGCTATTTCGGCGCCTTCCCCGCCTCCACACCTCCCAGGAGTGGGCTGAGCAGCCCCATTCCAGAGGGTTGGGGCACTGGGTGGACGGGGCCGGACCCTGCTGCAGGCAGGGGTGGGTGACACTGGGGTTGGGCTCTCCCCAGGAGAGACCGAAGAGCGCCGTGTTCGCCAACGAAACAAAGGTGAAGATGAGCGTGGAGGAGCAGATCGACCGCATGAAGCGCCACCAGAGCGGCTCCATGAAGGAGAAGCGGCGCAGCCTGCAGCTCCCCAGCAGCCACCAACCCCAGACCCCCCGCACCAAGGCACCCGCCCCCCACC